ATAGAGTTGAAAAGGAGTTGATTGTGCTGGTCACGGGGTGACCGAACGCGTTCGATATCCATACCGGACTCATCCGGTATTCTAGCCAGGCACGACAGAGTTGATGAAGTGACCGTACTCTGGGCCGTAGCAGTGACCGGATACTGAGCAATCACTGTTTAGCATCCGATCGAGGTGATGTGGGGCGTGGGTGTTGGTCCAGAGAGGACCGGACGTAGGGGTGCGTCCGGTCGGCCACACCGGACTTGTCCGATTATAGTTGAGCGGCTCTAGGTGCTCTCTGGACTCGACCGAACATGTCCAGTTGTCACACCGGACGCATCCGGTATGAACCTGCTAGACTCAGGTTTTCAGCGCTATAATTGATCGGACGCTGGGAGCGTTCGGTCCGGTGTGACCGGACACGTCCGGTCGTCCCAGAGCGGCTTTGGGAGCTCTTTGGACTCGACCGGACACTACATCTCCCACGTCCATTCATTTTCTAACAGCGCGTCCGGTCACCAGTATTACTGTGCATAAAGATAGCTGTTGAGCGCGAATGGCCAAACAATTTGAATAGGACACATGGCGGTCAGGCTACGACCGAACGCAGCGATCGGACACGTCCGGTCACCACACTGGACGTGTTCGGTCGTCCCGAGTTAACCCAATAATTGAGCCAACGGCTCTATTGTTTGGGGGTGTCTATAAATATCGTTTGGCCGGCTCTAGCTTGCTCGCTTAGCTATTTGCATTGACATAACAACCTTGTGAGTTTAGCCAAAGCCCTCCCACTCATCTCCATTATTGATTTATCATCTTTGGGAGATTGGGAGAGAATCCAAGTGTATTGCTTGAGTGATTGCATCTAGAGGCACTTGGTGTTCGTGTTTCGCTGTGGGATTCACTTGTTACTCTTGGTGGTTGTCGCCACCTAGACGGTTTGGAGTAGTGAGGATCGTCGAGTGGAGGTTGGTGATTGTCTTCGGCTTGGATCGCGATGATTGTGAGGGGTCTTGTGCCTTCCCCGGTGAAGCACCAAAAGATAACTCTAGTGGATTGCTTGTGTCATTGACTTACCTTACTTGTGGGTAGGTTTTTGCGGTATCCAATTGTGTGGACGAGGTTCGTGCAACTCCTCTTAGCCGCCGAACCACCAAGTGTTGGTCGACACAATGGGGACTAGCGTGCCAGCAAGCATGTGAACCTTGGGAGAAAAATTGATTGTCTCTTGCCCTTTGGTATTCTCTCGATAATTGAATTGGTATTCTTCTTGTGATTGGTTTACTCCTCTATGCGGCGGTATAATCACCGTACTCACTCATTTATATTCTTGCAAACTAGTTGTAGCAAGCTCTTTAGTGTAGCTAGAATTGAGAGCTTGCTTTGTAGTTTAAGTTCATATAGTGGAGCTTTTTAGTGTAGGAAGTGTGAGAGCTCTTAGTAAGTAGTGACTTAGCAAAATTATATGTATAGTGATCATAGTAACTAGAATTATTGAATAGGTGGCTTGCAACCCTTGTAGAGCTAGAGCAAGTTTGCATTTCGCTATTTATTATACTAATCAAATTGCTTTAGTTGGTTTGTAGATTTTTAAATAAGCTATTCACCTCTCATCTAGCCATATTCGGACCTTTCACTTCCGACAAGCCTCTCTCGGATCGCTCCCCGCCTTATTCACTATTAAGCTTCTGGCCGAATCGTCGTGGGCCTTGTTCCCTTCAGTACACGATGGTGGCCACACCACAAACACGGTTGGTGTGATCTCGCAAGATTACAAGCCCCTCCGATATACAACAATAGTGCGCGCAAGCACCGAGTGGTAAGAGATATGCAAACCTCACTAAACGCTAGGCCTAAACCTAGAGCAAACGCATAAGCAGCGGTATAATCAACCTAAGCACTTCGCAAAGCACCTACGCTAATCACCTAATGAATTACTAAGCACTATGCAAGTGGAGATTACTAAAATGATATATTAACACCCTTGATATGTTTCCTCAGCTCCATACACCTCAAATGGTCGGTTGGGGGTCTATTTATAAGCCTCACTGAGAAAGTAGCCGTGAGATGAAACTTTTTACAAAGCCGATCACGCCCCGACCGGACGGGTCACCGCATCGGACTCAGCTTAGAGTCCGTTCAACGACCGGATTGCACGGTCACGCACCGCGCTCGAACCTCTGGTCGACCGGACCTCCTCGAGTTCGGTCGTCCAATCACCGTCCGCCATGCTGCCGGAGCATTTACCGGTGCGTCCGGGTCACTTACTTCGGGCACCGAACCGCACGCCACACCGCCGCAGCTGAAGCATCACTACTTCGCCTACCGACGCCATCAGGGCGCCACTTGATCGGAGCGTCCGGTCACTCATGAGACCGTGTCCAATCACCTTTGTCGGGCTCGTTTCTTCGATCTTACGTTCGGCTTGGTTCTAATCTTCGTGCATGGACTTTGCTTGACCTTGTATGTCTTCTATGCATCATCACATGTCTTTCTTGAGGCGTTGATCATCGAATCATCACGTCGCCTTCGTTCAAGTCACGTCTTGCACCATATTGAACTATAAAACAATTACTTGCAAATTCATTAAGCCAATTTAGTTGTGTTGGTCATCAAACACCAAAATCCAAAGTAAATGGGTCTAGGGTCCATTTTCCTTACACACAAGAATGGAAAATTTATTTTTCACATCATTTGAATAGATGACATTCTACTCACTAGTAGTGATGTTAATCTGTCTTTGGAGAAGAAGTTTTGTACTCAAGTTTCAATGTGAATAATCTTGGTGAAGTATCATTGGTTCTAGGAATCGAAATTCACCGAGATAGAAGAAAATAGGGTATTAGGACTATCACAAAGACATACTTAGAAAAGATTCTAAAGAAATAAAGTATGCATGCGAGTAAACCTACGCCTGCTCCTATAGTCATGAGTAATAGATTTAGGAACTTTAAGTGTTCTAGGAACTGATATGAGATCGATTAAACAAACATGGTTCCGTATGCTTCAGCTGTTGAAAGCTTGATGAGTGTACAAGTACAAGTAAGAACTTATCCTGACATAGTTTACGTATCCGGGATATTTTGGTAGAAGTCCAGTCCAAATATAGATCACTGGATTGGAGTTAAGAATGTTTTGCAATTTTACAAAGTATCACATGCCTCATGCTAAGTAAGAAAGAACAAGTACTCTCAAATAGTTGATGGTACAAATATTAAGTTTTGACGAGATGTGTAGTGAAATCCATAGTAGTTGCTAACACTCGTAGTTGGAGTATTATTGTGGAAAAGCTCTAAAAAAACAGTCGTGGTGTCATCAGTGATGCATACCATAGTATAGCTTGACATGAGGCTTAAGGAACATGCAAAAAGAGGTTAAGAAAATTTGTACCCGGATTTAACAATAGTAGTCAACTGTAATAACCATTTAAAGTATGTTAACTCCTAAGACAACAGATCAAGTGTGCTGCCAAACACATTGACACTAAGTTATATGGTGTAAAGAAAAAAATCTAGAATTATTTTGAAAGCATTGAGCACATAAGTACCGAGTAAGTACTTGCGGATCCGTTTATCAAAGACTTACCACCCAGTGCGTTCAGAGCACACATAGTCGACATGGGTTTACGGGAAAGCCTATGATTATTGGATATTAAGGGCATAGTTGAGTATCTGTTTCAAAACAGAGAGGTGCATTGTAGCTGTTAAATCTAATGGCAACTGACCATGACGATGAGGCACGTTCTATGCACTGATCTGTGATGGAATGAGAAAATGATAAAGTAAGTTAAGTTTAAGTTATAAGGTGAGATAAGAATAAGAATGTTAGGTTGATCTCCACCAAGTTGGCCAAACGGTCAATTGGGCCCTCGATCCACGCCCTGATCAGAGCGTCCAGCCGTTCTTCTGGCTGATGGCTCTCATCGCACAACGTAATAAATAGGAGGTGAAGGCTGAGGCTCGAAGTACGAGTTTCACCGCAGCCACCAGCGCCCCACCGAGGTTGCTAGCCCTAGTCCGATTTAGAAGAGCGCGCTGTAAGCGACGGGAAGTACCACCGCCTTCACCGTCGCCTCTGCACAGCGCCGGATGTCCACACCGCCGCCAAGACGCCACTGAAGCGCTACCCTGTCGCCGACCTTATCACCGACGCATCGTGACCACCTTATCGGCGGCGTCACCGCCACGACTACCTTTTGATGAGATTATATCAGCAAGTCCTCTTCCGTAAGTTTGTATCCGCGGGATAAACATCGGCCACCTGCTTCATCGCATCTTCATCCGGTTCACGCATCCCCTGGTTCAGATGGCACATCGCTCAGAAAAGGGCCGATCAGGCCTCCTTTAGAGTTTCACGGAAGGCAGCAGCAACCGAAAAAGGCAGCTACTTCTACTTCCGCACCAATTCGTGCCTGACCGAGTCCTGCGGCACAAAAACAGTAGTGGCATCACCGGCCCGTGGAAATCTCGTCTTGTTATCCGCCCCGTGTATTTGGCTTATAAACAGTTTTTTTTCCAGTCAATAAATAATATTTTTTCTTATAATAAATCAATTAATAATATTTTTAACTATAACTTATCATCCAAACGAATAAGGAAATCGAGGACTCACCGCTCGCATTGTTCCATTGGCAAAACTCTTATCACACGATGTGCTCCAGAAGCAAACCTGCAAACGACAAGAGGTGAGAAATGCAATTGCAATCCAGACTGTTCGCTTGCTCGTAAACGATCGTAAATTTTTAGCCGGGAACAGTGTTTTTCTCTCACACCAAATCAGCCAGCAGTAAATAATGCACGATATCTGCTCATCCGACTGTTGTCGTCTTGTGCTTGTACACATTCAAATCCGGTCATCATCAACAAAACATAAATACTGGTCATCTGCTGGTTCCATCAGTCCTAATAAAGTTACACATGCGTGTAACTTCTGTACAAACCCTCAGCTAGAACGACAAACAAAATCTTACAAACCCACACTAATAAAAATCCCATAACCCATAGCAGCTCTGAGATTTTTCACAAGGAGCAGAGGGGACACCGCACTAGCCCGTTCTCGTTGCACTCGGGGCACCGCCTGAAGGTGCCCACCTCCTCGAGGAACACCTTGCAGCTGCCGGAGCATTCCTCGCAGGGCACGAACCGCACGCCGCCGCAGCTGGAGCACGCCTCCAGGGCAATGCCCTTGCCGCCGGAGCTCGGCGGGGGCGCCATCTCGCAGGCCTCGAGCGCCTTCGACAGCTCGCCGGCCTCGTGCATCCGGCGGACCTCCTCGGCGCCGCCCAGGTGCCTGCCGTCCGCGAACACCTGCGGGAGCCTGCTGCCCGCGGTGGAGCCCAGCGCGGCGTGGAGCTCGTCCTTGAACCCCGAGTGCATCGACAGGTCGCGCTCGTCGACGCGCACGCCGTAGCTCTGGAGAATGGACTTGGTGGACCAGCAGTCCTCGTACGTCTTGCGGATGCCGCGGAGGCTGGTCAGGTACAGCACCACCTTCCGGGCGCTGTCCGGCGGGGCGGCAGAGCCGGCGGCTGCGGCTGCGGCGGCGCCAGCTTGGCGAGCTTCGCGTCGATCCTCTGCTGGAACGCGCTGACCCGCGCGCGCACGATGCCCGGGAACCTCTGTATCTCGCGCTTCTTGACGCCCACCTCGTCGCCGCCCCCGCCACCGCCCAGGCCGTCAGGCTTCTTGATACACTCCTCGATGCCGGGGTCGTCCGGCGGCGGGGGTATCTCATCCAGCGCCTTCCGGAACGCGGCGATGACGTCCGGATCGAACTCGGGCGATCCTGGGGCCGACTTCTCCCGCCGCTCCTCGCCGTCGGCGTCGCCCTCCTCGTCCTTGTCATCGAGGCCGTCCATGAGCTCCCACACGTTGATCACCTCGGGCTCGCGGACCTGCGTCTTGGCCGGCGAGCCTGGCACCTGTTTCTGCCGCCGCATCAGCTGCGGCTTCAGCGGCAGCGGCGGCGTCTTCGCCGCTCCGACAACTCCGCCATCGTCGCGCCACTTCATCATCTCCTCCTCGTCCCGGTCGAGGCTGAGCGACCCCAGCGTGGAGGACTTGAGCGCGACGGTGTGGTGAACGCCGCCGGAGCGGCTCCGCGCGTGCGGCGACCGGCCGCCACCCCGGACGCCGCCGCGCAGCGCGTGCCTGGACCCCGTGCAGCCCATCGGACAGCCGCCACGGTACGATCCAGAGAGCAGCCCCGATCGAATCGGCAGCGGTAAGGCACAGTAGCTCAATGTCGGTGGGGAGCCTTGTTGGAGGAGCACTGGACCATCCCTCGACAAGAGCAGAGCAGCTGGGCCAAGAACAGCGAGGTCGAACGGCCAATTCAGAGGAAGGAACCGGTCCAAGCGCGAATGGGGTCAGTCAAGCGTGGGGGAGCTCGACGGCGATCGAGGCGGGGAGGTAGACGGAGTGGCGAGCCTAGCAGGTGGGCGAGATCTGAGGCGGGGCGAGGTTGGCTGCGATGCGAGGGGGAAAGGAAGGAAAGGGAGGAAACGCTTTAAGCCGCGCGAGTAACGGAGCGTTTCGGGTCACGACCTCACGGCACGGGCGGGTGGCCGCCGTGTCCGCGTAAAGCGTAATAACTCGCGCGTTTCGGTTGGGACGCTTGGACTCGTGTCCGTGCCCGTGCCCGTGTCTTCGTGGAGTCCCCGGCCGCGCGGAACACGTGGGCGGAATCATTGCCCGCTGGTCAGTGCCCGCCGGGAAGCGGCTCTGCCCTGGTGGCTATGATTATCCGCATCGGCGGGAGAGACTACAGCGTCGGATCGAGCAGTCGAGCGGCTGTATCAGAACTTCGGGCCACGATCCTCCGAGCACAGGAGTTAGGACCAGCCTCTGCGCGCAACGTCCGTACGCTGCTAAAATGCCAGACCTGTCAATTCGGCACCATCTGCGATGCAGTGGCTGGGCACCAATGGTGATTGGATTTCCATTTTCCAGGTGCCCTTGATGGTTAAATCGTGTTGCAAGTTGTTGCGAACTAGTGGGAATGTGCGCGCGCGAGTTCGCTTAGAATTTGTGGGAACATTTCGAGTAGCTTGCTATTTAACCTTGCTGCAAATACGGTTCGTGGACCACTCATGTCGCCTACTATGCCTTCTATTTTTGAACCTAGCAAGCCGGGCGTTCGAGGATAGTGAATTCTGAACTTGACTTTGACGCCGTGGGCAAGGCAAGCTGAAAGCTTGCAACGAACGATGCGAGCGACGGAGTAGTAGCAGCCACACTGGCTCAGGGACCTGTCCCCGTCGCTGCAACGCAGCAGCTTCGCCCTTTTCTCTTTGTCGCTTAAGAAAACTCCGCAATTGCACAGCTGAAACAGCGAGGCGTCGTCGGTGTCACTGTCTGTCACCCCACACCCGGTAACGTACATACATGTCAATCCGCCGACGCGGATATATCAACGGCCTATTGAAACTGAAAGCTCAGAGTCTGAACTGGGAACTGGCCAAAGGTTTTACACAGTCCAACGCGCACCGCCATGTACAGCACTTCTCTTCCGTCAGGTCAGGTGACCGCGCTCGCAGAACAGTTCAAGCTTTGAACGGCGCTGCCGCGATCTCACCGACGCCCGTCGCGGGAGTTGGACCAACGCGAGGGCGATTCGAAGTTTCCGACCCTTTCCGGCACGAAACCTGGGCAGTATTTCGCTTGTTGGTTGGTGGCGCCGAGTGCCGACCGCCGATCGGCGACTTCTGAGTTCTGACCGTGCCGAGCAGGTGAGGGCGAGTGCCCGTGCCCGTCGGCTGCTTCCACTTCCAGCCAGGAGTGGCGGCGTGGGTGGCATGGCATGTCAACTCACCTGCCCAGCCGGCTTCAGCAATCAGCACTAGTCGGTGGTTTGTCGTCGGGTTCTGAATTCTGATGGTTCCCGGTTAGTAGTGCACCGCACTTCTTTGGGGGTTTTGCTTAATTTTTGTGCTGATGAGTGATGACGGTCTGTTTCTGATGGCGAGGAGGGCTATTTTTTTTACTCCCTAATTCGGAACAGGTTGGATCTGGGATTTGCAGGATTGGTTTGGTTGCATGACAGACAGGTATGCGTGATCCATCGAATTGGCTCTGTCTGTGATTACCTGATTGGGATGGGAGATCGGGATTGTTCTTCTTCTTCTTCACGCGCGTGGAGGACCACGGTACGGCGGGTTAAATGGTACTATCGGTCACGGCGAAAATATTCGTAAATAAATAGGATCCGTGAAAGTGATCGGTCGTAGCTCGCAAAGTGCTGACATGTGTAGCAGTCTCCATGAAGCAGCATTACTGAAACAAAACCTTTCTGATAGCATGGGTTATCGGGTTTGCATACCGTTCAACAATTCCGAGCCACCACACTGAACTGAAGACTCATCTGTCATCTCAGCTCACCTAGAGTAACTGCGAAGACGAGTACACCGCTTTTTGGTGAGCTGTAGTAGCCTGCTGTTGCTGAATCTAGAAAGGGAAATGATGCTGCAAAAAGATGATGCCTAAAGTTCTGTGAGAGTACCACTCCCACTCGACCCTGTGGGCGACCACTCACCAAGACAGCTCATTTCTTCAATTCTTTCTGGCCTTTATCGGCCAAACTCGATGGCTCGTGAGTTAGGACTGCACTCTTGGTATCGATTCCGATGCTCTAGCTAGATCTTCCTGCTCGTGACCTCGTGATATCGCAACCCGCAGTTCCTCATATGGAGTCAGATCTGTTTTTCTCCCGGAGATTTTTCTCACAAGTCAAGTCATCATCATAATATAATAAAGACTAAAGAGATACCTGGGCCTGACCATCCAGACGTTTGAAATGGACGTGGGCTGCTATGCAAATCCAGGATCCAAGTCACGGGCTAGGAAACGAAGCGACAACTATGGGCTGGGGCCCGTAAACAATTTTTCTCGTTAGGGCCCTCATACGTCCACTGGTGATGCCAACAAAGCGGCCCGTTATAATGACTGCAGATTCTATCAAGGCCGACAGCCCACTAGGTTCTCACAAAGGACTTGGATCCATGGCTTGTCGCTTGTCGGTGTTGGTGTCCAACTGCGGCCCAACGCCCCAACCCAGCGCAGGAGCGGGCCGAGCGGCACGGTGTGAGAAGCGGATTAGCCGAAACCTGGAGTGGAGGCGTGGAGCGGGTGCCGTGCCGTGGCGTCTCCGTCTCCCTCCTCTCCGTCGCCCCGCAGCCGGGCGCCACCGTCTCCGCCGCGCCACCCACCATCGGCCATCCTGGTCCGGTTTCGTTCCAATCCTCCCAGGCTCCCACACCACCAGTCGCTCCTAGCTTCGCTTCACATGCTCAAGCAAACGATCTAGGCTGACGATTCCTCACCATTTGGTCCTAGAGCCGCCCGAGATGTACCACGCGATGCGGCTGCGCTGCCTCCTCCTGCGCCCTCCGATGTGTAGCAATTCAAGCTCCCTCTGCATCTCCGCAACCGGCGTCAGTGGAGGTTCCTTCGTCAGGAGGTTCAGCGCGCTCGGCGCGCCGCGGCCGCCCGGCCCTGCCCGACGGCTGTGCCGGTTTTACGGCTCCAAGGGCGGCGTCGGGAGCGCTGAGGCGAGGGGCGCCGCTGAGTCCTCGTCGGCGGCGGGGAGCAGCGGCAGGTGCTTCGAGCAGGAGCACGCGCGGCTCGGGGAGAAGGACCAGCAGGAGTGGCTGAGCGGCGAGAGGTTTCTCACCGGCTGTAAGCGGCGGGAGTCGACGTTCCTCACCAGGCGGGAGAGGTTCCGCAGCGAGTTCCTGCGCCGCGTCGTGCCGTGGGAGAAGGGTTCGCTCTCGTGGCAGAATTTCCCCTACTATGTCAAGTGAGACGCCTCATCATCTGTTCGACGTTTTGTTTTAACCAAGCTAACATTAGTGTGCTGACGACTAGAGAGTGTGTATTTGTTCCCTTTTGAATGCACAAGTGAGAATGCGAGGCAGCTGCTGAGTGAGTGTGTGGCGTCCCACCTGCGGCACAAGGGTGTCACGTCAGAGTATGGCTCACGTTTGGAATCCTCAGGAGGGCGGATATTGCTCCAAAGTTCTCCAGGTATAAAGCAGCTAGGATGAAGATACTAGTGTTGCTACAAATGCTTGGATTGTGAAATTTGTTTAATGCAGGAACTGAGCTTTACAGGGAGAGATTTGTTAGAGCTCTTGCACATGAGTTGCAAGTGCCGCTATTGGTTCTGGACAGCAGCGTCCTTGCACCATATGTAAGATACTGCATTTTCACAAAGCATAAAGACATGATGCAACTTCACAAACCTCACATTTCACCTGATCCGTAGGATTATGGGGAGGATTACTCAGAAAGTGAGGAGGAGGAGGATGAGCATGCTGAGTCAGAGGATGAAGGCTCAGAATCTGAAATGGAAGACGATGGTGATGAAGATTGGACAAGCAACAATGGAAAATCTGGTGAAAGTGACGATGAGGATGCTCTCAAATCTGTGGAAGACCTGAAAAAGTCTGTGGATGACCTAAAAAAGTTGGCCCCTTGTACTATTGAGGAATTTGCCAAGGTGATTTATCTTATCTCCCTGTCTAGTTGCATCAGAAGTGTCTTCCGATGCTTTTCACAGAAAAGACACATATTTGACTGTGCTTCTGAAAAGTTCACCTGTTTCATTTACAGAAAAAATGATATTGTGCCACTTTTGCGTCTCTCTAAAACGAAGGGGACATCCAAAGTTTAGACAATCTTATGTTAAGTGGGTTTTAAATGAAAAGAAAATACAGTTGATAGAAACATCGTTTGAAATAACTTCTCTTCTTTAGCGTTCTTCCCTTACTAGAGGAAAGGCAAGGAGAACCAACAATTCATATTATCTGCCCTCTTTAATGATTTTTTCTTCATTCACAAATTTGTGGCTTATAATTATCCTTTCCCGCCTTGTTATTTTAGAGAATTGTTGGTGCTGAAGAAAGTACAGCGTCAGAATCTTCTGAAACTCCTGAGTCATCAGAAGAAGAGAAAAGGCCTTTCAAAAGGGGTAATTTCCCATTATTTTTCCCTTCAGTTACTATGTGAACTATCGACTACATTGCGTTGAAAAATAAGCTTTTATTGTTTGAACTTAACCCATGAGTCCATGACTGCCTGAGCATAATTGAGGCTTAGCCCCTCTTTATTGATACCTTGTATGTAGCTACACCAACTCAGAAGTTAAATCTGCTTCATCTAAAAATTCTTT